AAAAATTATTATTTCAACTTAAAATTAATGTGTAGATACAAAATAAAAATTTAATTGATTCTTTCTCAAAAAAGGATACCTACCATAACTGAATTATACATAAAATTTTAATTAAAGATACCTACAGTAATGTATATTGTACCAAAATAAGGTCAGTTACAAAGCTTGATCAATTAATTAAAATTTATCCCTACCATAATTTATTTCGTCCCTACCATAATTATACAAAAAAATGTTAATTAAATTATACTACTAATAGAGATTTGTATCATAATTAAAAAAATAATTCTTATTGAACTACTACTTCCATTAATTATGTTTCCATTTATAATCCAAATTTTTAATGTTGTCTTAAAATTGCCAAGTTGCTTTTTTTTAGCTTGCCAATTGGTTTCACCTTATGCTTCACTACTCTCTTTTTAATATAATATAGATATAGATATAGATAGATATAGATATAGAAATTTAATTACATCACATGTTTCTAAAAAAAATTATTTTTAGCTCTAAAGTAAAATTTGTAACAAATATTTTTTCAATAGTAAGGGATCGTTGGATATGAACTGTCGATTTTGTAAGATACAAAATGTCTATGTAAATATTTTTTTCTTAAAAAAGAATACCCACCATAACTGAGTTATACACAAAATTTAATTAAAGATACCTATAATAATGTATATTGTTCACAAATAAGGTTAGATACAAAACTTGTACAAAATAAAGAATTATAATTTCAACTTAAAGTAGTGTATAGATTTTCAACGAAATTTTAATTGATTTTTGCTCAAAAAGGATACCTACCATAACTGAATTATACACAAATTTAATTAAAGATACCTATAGAAAATCTTGGACTACTACTTTCATTAAATATTTTTCCATTTATAATCCAAATATTTTATGTTGTCTTAAAATTGCCAAGTGGCTTCATTTTAGCTTGCCACTTGGCTTAACCACATTGCAAACTACTCTCCTTTTAATATAATATAGATATTCAGGTGTATTACAAAATGAGTTCTCATTCTCTATTTATAGTACAACATTGAGGTATACCAAAAGAATTCCATAAATATGCTATTAAGCATTTGTGATCATGGAGGAAGATCATGGGTAGGTTATGGAGGTGTGGGAGTTACAACAATAATGGTAAGAAGTAGTAGGGGTTATCTACATAATGGAGAAGAGTAGTGGGAGTTATATTTAATTAGTGAACATCCATATAAATATATATTTCATAACAAATATAATTATATATTGTCTTTCTAAGTCTCAGTGTAATGACTCCAGTTGACATACTAAGGACAATACTATGCCCGATGACAAATATCTCCTATCAATGGCTGTATTTTATTATTTAATACTCTTTTTCTTGGAAAAGAAATTCCAAACCTCTAATCCTTTTAAAAGCATATTGTAAATTTATATCACTTTTTATCAGATGCCAAATTGAGAGAAGGGTACATAAACACCGCCTGACAAATATTATATACATTCATATAATAATTTTCTAAATAAAATACAGTATAATACAAATGTTAAGCTCGTGCCTAGAAATACAATAAAATGTTGTAAAAGCAGTTGGAGGTGCAAACTGTTCTCACCATCAGATTAGGAAAACAAATCTTGTTTTTTTTTTTTTTTTTTTTTGTTTAAAGAAGAATTAACCTATATAGTCGCTCGCTCAACCTTTTAATTTAAAAATAATCGTCGAATATATATATAAGTAAACATTGAATTCATTCTGTTGTTTGTGTAAAAAGGGACTTTTACCTAGCTATATTGTCATAGAAACCTATTTACTACCTTTATTTAGGTTCCTTGTTAATTACTTTATATACCTATATTTACTAGTTTTATACAAAACCATAAAATGCAAATATGGCGTATCAGTTATACATAGTTCCCTACATTTAAGATTCTTTTCCTTTTTCAAAGGATTACAAAAACATCTTCCAATTTTGTACGTACCCACCATGAGAATTCTCCCTTACCCACTGATGCCCAAAATCTTTCTAACCCAAAAATTTCGCTTACTCACTCCTCTTCCAAAGCTTTTGATATCCGTTTCTCTCTTTCAATCATCCAAAATCTCAATATAGAAAATATTCGTAATTTTGCTCTACAATCAAGTTGTGGATACAATACTAATGCAATTATAATACTACTATATTAAGTTTTTAGTGTAGAGTTGTGATTGAAACTTGAGGAAAATAAAGATCATAATTGTATCACAATTTTTCAGAAATGTATCGCGATTGTATTATAATTGTATATGTATCATAATTGTTGCAGGAATTGTATTACAAATATATGATAATTGTATATTCATTGTATATTGTTAAGAGCAGTTGTGAATTCGTTACGAATTTCACAATTTTTATCACAAATATGATAATTGTATATTAATTTATTAATATTGTATCAGGTATTATTTTGGGTATTAATGTACCAGATACAAGTTAGATACATTTGTGATACAAGTATGATACATTTATGTTTTAGGCATTGATGTATTTGATACAATGCAACTACAATTATGATACAGTTATCATACAATTTTTTAATATTTTTTAATAATATAATGTTGTAGGCAATGGTGAAGAGAGAAGATGGAGATTCTGGACGTAGATTAAGGGATTTTGATTTTTTTTAAAAAGGAGAGAGAAGAGGAGAAGGGGAAAAAAAAAAGGAAATGATGTAATTGAATCCCTTAATTGAAGACACTAAATGGGGTGGGAGCCTTTTAAGAAGCAATGTATACAAGTTGTAAACAAAACCTAGATACTTATTAAAAACTGCAAAACATAGAAAACATAGGTAAATAAGTTTCTAATATAGTATAACTAGGTAAAAATTCCATCAGGGACGGCTCAACATTGTTGGTGGCCTAAAGCCAAATCATGATGAGGGGCCTTATTTCTTTTTCTTTTCTTTTTTTCTAAAAAAATCATATATATTTTTAATTTATGTCTATTTTCCATACTTTTTGAGACCCAAAAATATTAAATATTTTGTTTATAATCGAGTTATTCTAATAATTCGTTTTTGCTTGATAATATAGCTAATCCATTTTAATGTCTCTTGAGACATTGTTGATCCAAGGTAAGATTGTATTACATTGAAATTTAATAAACTTCTTCCCGTAAATGCAATTGTTATAGGAACATTATTCGATAAGGAACTTCAGGCCCGGCTACTAAAATACTGAAATTTTGCGTGATTGTCTTTGCTACTTCAGCCCCGTATGCTGAAGTTATGCGAAAAAGCGGGTACGCTTGCAATTTTTTTTGCAAAGCGGGCACAAGTTAAAACGTGACACAAAAAGCGGGTATAGATGCAAATCCCCCGTTTACTCCCCATAACCCAGTTTTGCGTGGGGCATTTGCATCTATACCCGTTTTTTGTGTCACATTTTAACTTGTGCCCGCTTTGAAAAAAAAATTGCAAGCGTACCCGCTTTTTCGCATAACTTCAGCACACGGCGCTGACGTAGCAAAGGCAATCACGCAAAACTTCAGCATTCTAGTAGCCGAGCCTGAAGTTCAGCTCTAAAGCTGAAGTTTTTGTGTTGTAACTGGGAAACTTCAGCTCTAAAGCTGAAGTTTTTGTGTTGTTACTGGGAAACTTCAGCTCTAGAGCTGAAGTTTTTGTGTTTTAACTGGAAAACTTCAGCAAATTGGAGAGGAGGAAAGTGCAAAACATCTCCGCACAATTGGCCTGAAAGCACTTTCTGCAATGGTACAGAGTTCACGTAGATTTTGCCAACTATTTAGTCTATTCACTGTGTGCTTTTGATACAAACTGTGGAGGTGCTTTTGATACAAACTGTGGAGGCAACAAATACAAACGATATAAAAGTTTGTTTTTTATCAGTTCCAAAGAAAATTAAGTCAAAATCATATCCTCAACAAATGCAGAAGTCAAAATGTAGACTAAGACGTAGAGAGTATTCTTAAGAGTCTAAGGGACTTTTCTTCTTGTTTGCTTCTTAGCATTTTCTGCTAAAGACATCGTTGCACTGTTTAATGGTTTTTGAGCGAATTTCATGAAGAAGTATTGCATTAAAAGAAATTGAACCGCAGGTATTAAAATGATATCACAGGGTGCAAACCCAGTAGAGAGAAAAACTGCACAAGAGGGCCACGGGAGAAGAAGAAAAAAGAAAATGAAGGAGGAGAAGGGGAAGGAGAAAGGGAGCTGAAATTGTTTAAAAAGTGGGTGCAAGTTAAAAGTTTTAAAAAAAATGGGTATAGGTTAAATGGGGGCGACCAAATAGGGCACCCCGTGCAATTTTTACGTTTTGCGTAGACCAGTTTTGAACAAGTTGACGAGACATCGATGTCCATAATCCAACTCTATTGACAAACTGGACGCGCACATTGGGCCTCGGCCTCATTTGAAGTGATTTTTGATCCATCAAGTACAAAGGGATAAACCCTCAATCGTACCAGCCCCTAGCTCAGTAATTTGCCAGTACTTATCTATGGGAGTATTAAGAGCCCGTTTGGACATAAAAATTTTTATTTTTTTCGAATTTTTTTTACCTTTTTACGAAATCAATGTTTGGTCATAAAATTTTCAATTTTCACTTGAAGATGAATTTTCCAATTTTCACTAAAAGTCCAATCTTTTTGTAAGAACATCTTTAAATGGAGCGACCATTCCACAATAACCTGCACCTTGTTCGGGTCCATCCGCACTCGATTTTGGCTCACCAAGTGCCCAAGAAATTTGATCTCCTTTTTAGCAAATTCACACTTTTCCATTTTCACATACACCTTGTACTCCCTCAAACGAGACAGTACTTTTATCAAGTGTAACATGTGTTCAGTGATGATTGATATATCCCAAACTTGTTTGGTATTGAGATATTGTTGCTGATATTTTTTCATAGAAATATATAATCATATTACATTTAGACGTTCTATAACAAAAACAAAGTGACAATACACTAAAATTGCATCATAAACGATATGTAAATTACCAAACAAGATAATAAGTTATCAAAAACTAGAACTTGAACTTAAAAAGTATAGCATAGCAATATAGTACATCTTAGACCATCACTTTTCCTCCATATTATACTATCAAGATCTTATCAAAACAAGCAGTTCTTTTTTCTATTATTACTGATTACTTCACCTTAAATCCTCAAAAACTCTTTTAACAAGATCCAATATTACTCTATCCCACCATAAACAATAGATTTTTTTTTTAACAAAAACATAGGATCAAAACATTTAAACATGAAGCAATGTCACCTAATTTAAGCTCCAGTAGCTCCCACCGATGCCTTCTTTTTCTTCAACTCCTCATTAGCATTATCTTCAGTTCCTTTCCCGTTCAATTCATTCGTCGAAAAATTAAACTTTCTTGAAGATATTTCAGATCTTAAATCATTCAAAGCATTTCTTAATAATCCATTTTCAGCTTGTATTGTCTCCAGTTGCTGCTTCACATCCAAACACACCTTCGCCAAATCAGCATTCTCTGGCACATTCTTCCCTTTCTTCGATAAGTCTTTCGCCACGTGTTCGATGCCAATCTTATTCATCACCAGCAGCGGACACTGCCTGAACGAAATCCCCGCCTGCGAAAACACATCGTTCTTCCCAAGTATAACAGTATCCGGATCCTCCGCCGGAGAAACCGTCGGAAACCTAAGCCCCCACCTGAAATTCACCACCGCACGGTTTCTCACCGGGAACGAAGTCCGTGCGCTGACCGCCGTGCCGGAGAACAAATTCTCCACTGCTCCAGGGACGGCCGATTCTGGTGGCAAAACCCCGACTTTACCGCCAAGAAACGCCGGTTTCACTAAAGGCGTCTCGAAACCGTCGTGTATTGGACCAACGCCGTTAACGCCGTTCGATTTCGAGCTCAAACTCTTCGTGAGGGCCGAAGAGGAGTGCGATTTCTTCACACAAAAATCGCCGAAATTAGGCTTAAAGTGAATGAAGAAACTAGGGTTTTGATTCCCAATCAAATTGAACTCGGCGCTCATAGTAAACGGGCTGGATATCGGGGACCCGAAGTGTCCAATCCCAGTTTTGAACACAAAACTAAACGGGTTTACCGAATCATTAGGACGATAAGCGAATTTAAAAGACGGCCCAGAATCGAATAAAGTACCGAGATTTAACGATAACTCTTTCGATTCGCCGGCAACAATTCCTGATTGGAACGGAACGTTAAGTATACTGAGAGGAACTTTGGCTCTGATTAACGGTTTCTGCTCCTCACGAAATTTGATTGAAGCTTTCATCTTTTGCCCCAATTGAGATTTGGATTTGAATGAGTACTGGGAATTTGTGTTGGAGTGATGAGTTTGAGAAATACTGAGGTTTTTATAGTTGGATCTTGAGGGTTTAAGGGTTGCAACGGAGAAGCGGAGATTCCGTTGAATTGAGCTGGCAATTATTGGGTCTGAAATGGTGAATGTGTTTTTTGGCTTATTTGCTAGTCTATGTACAAGATTACCCCTAACAATTATCAATAAATATTTTTTACATTTAAAGGAGTATTCTTTAAAACTATAATAAATCTCCTATTAATCTTTATACTGATGTATATTTTAACCAGATTAAATAATTCATGATAAACATCAGACCTAATTTAAGTATAAATATAGTCATTATTTTATGTTTGTAAAAATATTGGATGCTAATCTACTATGATCCTACTATTTTATGTTTGTAAAAATATTGTGGCTTTTTGGGAATTTAGATTATTTTCTGAGGATTCAGATTGGTGTTGAGTAGGATTTTAGAGGAAAATTGGTAAAGCTGTTTCGGAATATTATTTGAAATTCAAATTTTGTATTTAGCTGCAACTTAGGAAATTTGTGGGCACCTATCTGGATTTGATAGGATGCTGATATCTACTTAAATTTGAATTTTTCGAAATCGGTTTAATTAAAATATTCCCAGCATTTAAATTTTGACTTATTGACTAATTAGGTAAGTGATTAAAACTGAAGTCACGTATAGAAAATAAATTAAACATTGCGTTTGAATTTCAGACTTACGTTTTGAAATATTTTGTCCTTTAAGTTAGTTCACATTTTGCTTGTTTAAACTTGAACTACGCTTTCATAGAAACAACCTCCTAGTGCTTTTTGAGTTTTGTCAAAGTTGAGTTTTTACATTTAGAACTTGATACCGCTTTCCCCTAAAAAATTTCATTTTATGTGAATTGGGTAGGGAATATAATAAGAATGACTTTTGGAACTTGTGAGATTTTCATGTCAATAAAAATCATGACATTAAGGTTAATTCAGTTAAAGTTTAAAATTTAAGTTGTTTAAAATATAAAAATGTGTTATTCGCTTTTAAATATATATAAAAACAAACAGAGTGTCACATAAAGTTGTCACGACCCGATTTTTTCATCGTCGGGATCGTGATGGCACCTAACAACGCCCTTGCTAGACAAGCCAACGTTAGAGTTCTATTTACCTTTTTTCTTTACTTTTTATAATTAAAATTTAACAAAACCAAATCAACGGAAATAAAAGCGGAAGTACATAATTAACAGATTATCCTTTTACTGTTAACAAAATCGAAACAGTACCACGCAGAAACTGGTGTCACAATCCACGAACATTCTATGAATAACTACAAGCATGGGTCTGAAGGAAGAAAATACATCTGTCTCGAAAGAAAATAAAACAGAAAAGTGGAAACATAGAGGGGACGCTAGGGCCTGCGGACGCCTGCAGGACTACCTTGGGTCTCCTAGGTGAATGCTTGCAACCGAGCTCTCGATCAGCCACAACCAGCTCCAATATCTGCACAGAAAGCGCAGAGTGCAGTATTAGTACAACCGACCACATGTACTGGTAAGTGCCGAGCCTAACCTCGACGAGGTAGTGACGAGGCTACGGCGGGGCATAAACAGTATAACCTGCAACAGTATATAATAAAGCAAAAAAAGGAGATACGGAACGAGTTGGAACAGTAACTTGCAACAAAGTAAATACGGAACCTAAACATCTTGCCAGTACTCAGCTATAACCAATCCTTAAGAGAGTTACAATACCACAGAAATAAATCACAGCAGAAGAAGAATACATAAACAATAAATGATGCGGCGCGCATCACGATCTCACCATATAATCAGTAACAATATGAGCATTCGCCCTTATTACTCCTTGTTGCGGCATGCAACCCGATCCCACCTGTCTACCCTTATTACTCCTCAATATATCGCCCGTATTCCTCCTGTTGCAGTGTGCAATCGGATCCCACTTGTCCACCCTTATTACTCCTTGTTGCGGCGCGCAACCCGATCCACAAACAATCACATTTCACTCTTATTCCTCCTGTTGCGGCGTGCAACCCGATCCCACCATATCAGTCCCAACTACACAATAAGAACAAGTATTTCACAGTTTAGCTCAAACCCTCCACAATATGTATGCCTCAAACCAAATCAAATGGAAATCTATACAATTATGAAATCTCATCGATTATTACTACACAACGAGACCAACCAACATGTATCATGAAACACCGATAAACCAACTTAAATCAATAATGTAATATTATGAAACTATGGAACAATTTATACCTTCAATAAAGAAAACAACATCTATCAAGAAGCAATTAGACATGGAAGCATCAATAAGCATGTAGCAGTTAAGACATGAAAACAATATATTAGGAAGGGGAAGGGAACAGGTTAAACAGGTAATTTGGCCGCGCATAGGTACTCGTCACCACACCTATACGCCACACACATGGGATTTCACATAGCAATTAAGTCGGGGATCCCTAATCCCTCGAGTCAAAGTTAGACCAAACACTTACCTCAAGCCAACGGACAATTCAAAGCTTAAATACCGCTTTACCTCTCGATTCCACCTCCAATCCACTCATATCTAGTCATAATTAACTTAATAACATCAATTACTGCTAGAGAAATCAATTTCAATGCAAAATTATAAGTCTCCCAACATTTTTCCCAAAAAGTAAAAACCGACCCAGGCTCGCTTGGTCAAAACTCGAAATTCGGACCAAAACCCGATTACTCATTCACCCTCGAGCCCGGATATACAATTGGTTTTGTAATCCGACCTCAATTTGAGGTCCAAATTCCTAAATTTCGAAATTCCTAAGTTCTAGCCAAAAATCCCCAATTCCACCATGAAAAACCCTAGATTCTGTGATGAAATCTTGTAAAAAAATAAAATAGATAGAAGAAATGAGTTAAGAATAATTTACCTATGATTTGGGGAAGAACTAGCCCTTGGAAAATCGCCTATTGAAGTATAGGTTTTGAAAAATGGAAGAATGAATGAGAAATCCCGTCCAAGTCCAAAGTTATCAGCTGCAGATGTCGCATTTGCGACCTGAGCTTCGCAAATGCGAAGCTCGCAATTGCGAAGGGGCTATCGCAATTGCGAAGCCTTCACAATCCTGCTGCCTTCGCAAATGCGAGGAAAGTGTCGCAATTGCGATCAGTGACCTCGCAAATGCGAACAAAAGATCGCACTTGCGATTCATACCCCTTCCAGACTCCCTCCGCAAATGCGAAGAAAAGTTAGCAATTGCGAACACAGGCTGGCCCAGCTTTTCTTCGCATTTGCGACGAGAAGCTCGCAAATGTGACCTCAACAGTGATCGCAAATGCCAACCCTGACCTCGCATTTGCAAGGTTTGAGGCCTGCAACACAGCTGAAGCACACCAGCTATTTTTCTAAGTTCGAAATCACTCCGTAGCCTATCTGAAACTCACCCGAGCCCTCGGGGCTCCAAACCAAGCATTCACACAAGTCTTAAAACATCATATGAACTTGCTCGCGCGATCAAATCACCAAAATAACACCTAGAACTACGAATTTAGCACCAAATTGCATGAAATTTTCAAGAAAGTTTCAAAACTTCTAAAACCAAAGGTCCGAATCACGTCAAATCAACTCTGTTTTTCACCAAATTTTACAGACATGACTTAAATATTATATCAAACCTGTATCGGGTTCCGGAACTAAAATACGGGCCCGATACCAACGAGATCACACATTAATCAATTTCTTTAATTCCTTAGATTTTCAGTCTTACAATTTTTCATCAAAAATTTATTTCTCGGGTTTGGGACCTCGGAATTCGATTCCGGGCATACGCCCAGGTTCCATATTTTCTACGGACCTACCGGGACCCTCAAATCACGGGTCCGGGTCCGTTTACCCAAAACGTTGACCGAAGTCGACAAAACTCAACTTTTTAAGCCAAAATTTGTTATATCATAAATTTTCCAAATAAAGGTTTTCCGTGCCCGGACTGCGCACGCAAATCGAGGAGAGCTAAAATAAGGTTTTAAAGGCCTCGGAACACGGATTCGAGTTCTAAAACAGAAGATGACCTTTTGGGTCATCACAAAAGTAAAACAAAGAAAATAATTTTATCATACTAAAATTCAGATATTTTTTATGAGGATGTCTAGAATTGTAGAAAATTATAGTTGCATTAGTATTTAGTCGCCAGATGCTTTAAAATTACAAGAACTGTAACTTATCACAACTTATTTTTAAAATTCACAATTACAATAATTTATTCTCCAATATTTGATGAATCTGAATATATCTTATTTCATATATAGCTACAATTTAGACTATTAAATTACGATCAGTGTACTTATGTACGTACGTTCTTAATGCCACTGGATTTTCGAAGTCTTAAACGTTTAATTAGGCTCTTGATTTAAGTGTAAATTTTGTATACGAAAGATATATGTGAGAAACAAAGACATTTTTTTTTTTGGTCAACTAACACATAAAGTGTAAAAATTGCACGGGGCGCTCTATTTGGTCGCCCCATTTAATCAATACCCATTTTTTAAATTTTTTTAACTTGTACCCACTTTTTAAACAACTTCAGCCCCCTTTCTCCTCCTCCTTCTCCTCTTTCGTTTTCTTCTTCTTCTTCTTCTTCTTCTTCTTCTTCTTCTTCTTCTTCTTTCTTCTGCTGCTGTTGGTGCTGCTATAAAACTTCAGTTCATCGGATGATTGCCATAAGTATGTTTATCAGATTATTTAAAAACAAATTATAAATAATTACGTAAGTTAGTAGACAATAATTTGTGAATATTTCCACGTACGGGAAGTTTAAGGTCACACTTAGTGATTCTTTTCATGATAATTCTGTTCTTTTCACGTTTATTGTTTCCAAAATTTATGATTTAGATACTGTTGGCAATTTAGTATTATTTTATAGTAGTAATACACTATGAAAGAAATAGGTA